AAGGGGACAACAAAGTTCTTGACGTTGATGGAGCTGGTTGCTCATTTAGACGCCACAGTGAATGGGAGCTGCGGCGAGAGCTTGCCAGCGTCACTGTAACTGAGATGGTGTTGCAAGGAATGCCAAGTCTGGAAAGATGTGAGCATCCGTCACGCTTTCCCTGGTTCTGTGCGTGCTGGGAGCACATTCCTGCCGCAGATCCCTTTGGTTAAAAGCTTCGAGTAGCAGCTATTCTAACCACAGAGCATGTACATTAGCACCAGGTATGTGCCAGGTCCTTGCCTCTAGACTTTCAAGTGCATCTAGAGTTGTTTTGGGATACGTGGAATCTCAAGCCTAAATTAACACAGGTGCAAATCCAAATGTTCTAGGGAGTATCCAATCTCCATGTCGTAAGTACTTCAGTACTGCTGTTGTACACTCTGCATTACTGAGTTGGGAGGGACTGAAGGTTCTGTTTGTCCTTGGACTTCTGTGAAGAGCTCTCTCAGGCATCACGATGGCAGGAGGGGGTAGTGGAGAGCAGGAGCTGAAGATGCTTTCCTGCTCTTACAGAGTGTGCAGGGAATCAGCCAGATACGAAGGCAACTCTAATGTACATGCTGAAATACCTAAAATAAGCCATGCAAACAAATCAGTCGTATGTTATCCAGATGGGACTGTTCAAATCCAATAATAGCAGTAAAGTGCTCCTGAACTCTGCGGAGAGAGAGATTATAGAAGGATCAGGTATAATTATAGTGCCTTATTATTACCATTCTCATCATTCTTTCTAACAAAGCTTTTCAATAGGATGAAAAAACTTATTGCAGAAGAACGTAATGTGTTTGCTGGCATTTTTTCATTCTTCCCTCCAAGGCTATTGAAGTCAGTCCCTGTAAATGGTATTAATAAATATCGTAATGATCTTGGGCTATTATCTCTCAGACAAAACCTTCTTTAGCATCTCTTTATGGCCTTGACTACAGCAAGACATTCTCCTGAAACACCTCACTATTGCTACCACTAGTGAGAGCACCAGCAAAAATATCCCACTGTTGCTCTGATCCTTGCCTTAATACAAGCTCTTCCAAGTAGGGTTAAGCTGCAAGTGGCTTGTCTATATACGGCTCCATGTATTCCACCTGGAATATAGGTGGAATCATTCAGCAAATATTCTTTACTTTGGAGAAAGTCATAGAGCTGGAGGTACATCTCTGCAAGCAGTTCTCCTCTACCCAATTCCCGTCTCCTCTGAACACCGTCAGTGCTTGTGAGAAAAGCCCAGGGTTATCGGAATCAGACTGCAGGCAAAATGGGTGTGGAAAACACACATCTTTGTCTGCAGGCTGGTCTTGTGGGCTGGCACCACTCAGAGAAGGAAGAAGGCGTCCTGGTATTTTTTCAGCAGTATACCTATCCAAGACCTGGAAGTATTGCCATTCAGGGAGCCTGTCAGTGCAAGGGACCCATGCTCCCCATGGAGCACAGTCCCACAGCAGCTCTGAAATCCAGTGGGGACTTCCCAGTGAGGGGATTTCTCACAGGAGGGAAGTCCCCGGCAGCACTTCCACTTTGCATCTCCCTCAGCCTAGGAGCAACTTAGCATGGGGAAAAGCTGTCAGTGAGCGCGCAGATGGTTAAACACGCTACTGACGCATCTTGTTCTTAATCTGCAGCACGCCCTTCATTGCCGGCCTCGTGGCCCTGATTCGGCAAATTCCTCACACGTCTCTCAGCTTGGGGAGATCCCTGTGCCTGTATCAAGTGTTGCAGTGCAGGAGAACCTTCACGTCTTCATCCTGCTCACCTGCAAGTCCAGGGCAAACCAGGAGGAGAGGCAATGCATTTTGAACAGACGCAGCAGCCTTTGGAGGGGGACGGGTTAGGTTTGTTTCTTAGGCTGTAAGGAAGGGGCAGTTTGCTGAAACAGGTCTTTCTCTTCTCCTCTCCCCTGAGCAAGCACCTTGGCAGAGCCTTGCTCTCAGCTCAATGAAAGTAGGGCAGACTAACCACATTTCAAGCTGTCTGCGTTTTTGGATTCTGGGTAACTGTGATCTGTATCTGTTCCTAGAAAAGATTTAAAGAACTTATAAACCACAGCTGGGCAGAGATAATGAAGGATGGTGGGGTGGGGAAGGATCTCCCCAGACTGGGGAGAGTGGTCTGCAGAAGCCATGGGCCCAGCTATGATAAAGGGTCTCAGCGTGGCGTCTTGGGCTGTAGGGGGACATAGAGGGGCTGCCTTAGGGAAACCTCAGCAATATTAGTAGCTAGGTATAAAATGTGAGTACATGTATATACATGTGTATGTATATCTTTCTAAAGAGCAAGTGGAGATATAGTTAGCCACAGAAGAAGGGGTCTAGACCCCGCTATGGTATCCATCTAGTCTCCCCTCCATGCACTTGTTCCTGCTGAGGTTATGTCTCCCTGCAGACAGGATATGCTTCCTCTTGCACTTGAGGGTTTTTTGCATTTCTCATCCTTGTTGGACCCACATCTATCATCCAGTGGTTTTCCAGGCAGAAGAGACCCTTTTCACGGGAGGGGCTGGAGTGGGTTCAGGCTCAGTGCCTAACCTCCAGGCCTGTAGAGAGGTTCGCAAAACCTCTCCCAGTTCTCCCCATAGCCTATGGCAGCTTTGGCTGCTCCCGGTGTCCTTAGTGGTGCTCTGTAAGGGTTTGAAAAACAGAACCCAGTGGTCATCCTGTTGTATTAGGCCAAAACTACAGATCCTTGTCCTGTAGTTCTGTCAGCAAGAACTGTAGACGGCAGGTGGGAAATTGAGGGGTGGCGAGGGAAGACAGAATGAAACACATTTCTGTATTGGCAAAAATCCTAGCGGAGGTGCGGTTCTTCCAGCAAATGCTTTTGCCAGGATTCTTTATTTAGTTTGCGTAGCCAGAATAGGGCCTGGTGACAAAAAGATGTTTTTCCACCCTAGGAGGTTGTGCTGTAGCAGCTGTATCAACCTGCATATTCTCCACAGTCTACAATAAAAGCAAAGGAAAGTTGAGGAATTAATAGAAAGAAAAAACCAACACATTAATTTGCCAGCGAGGTACTTAGCTACTTAATACCTTCCCAACTTTCCTCTCAGGAGCTGGCAGAGGCCTGGTCTGCATGAGGAAAGCTGTGCCAATCTGAAGTGGGGTGTGACTGCATGAATGTGTCTGCTGCAGGGGTCCGTGCTGGTTCCCAGGATCACTGTAGCTGTGCTGCAGGTTCTGCTTCCCAACATCCTGAGCTGGAAAGCTGCTGCAGGCCAAAGAAAAGGTCTCTGCTAAAAAAAAAAAAAAAAAAAAAAAAAAAAAAAAAAAGAAAAAAAAAAGTAGAGAAGACATTAAAAGGAAATAAAAGCCAGAAAAAAGCAAGAGGAGGAGCAGAGGAGTGAATGAGGTGGTTTGGGTGCAGGGGAGTGTTGAACTCTTGACTTCCTGAACAAGCTCAGAGGGAAGGAACTTGGATTCGGAGGCAGCCATGGGGCCGGCCTGGGTACCTGGTGGCAGTCAGAATCTGTTGCCTGCCAGGGTGAGAGGAGCTGGGTCTGGCACAGCTGGCTGGCTCAAAGCAGGGTTTGCTGAGGCCCAAGCAGTTTTCCTGCACAGACGAGACCAGAAGGGCCATCTGGCGAGGCCATTGCTGGCAGGAACTGGTTCTGCAGATCTCTTGCAACTGCTGCCATCTTGTCCGACACAATCTTCCCTGTGTCTGCACAGGACCTGCACCCTGCCAAACCTGCCTGCCTCCCACCCTTTACCCCCAACACAGGAGATGCACAGCGCTTTAATCAGGACGATTTCAGGTCATGATGTGCACACGTCAAGGCATGCAGCTGGCAAGGAAGGAGTTGGGGCTTCTGTTTTAGGAGAGCACTGCTGGCAGCATGCCCTGCTCCTGCCTAGCATCCGACCCCCTGCACTTTTGCTGCTAACGTGAGAAAGTTTGGGCTGGCCTGGTCATGGCACCATGGGGCTGGTGACACATTCTGTGCCCATGGGAGGCTATGTGCCTGTGACTCTTGTGCTTGTGTTCCATGGGACTAGCAAGGTGGGCTGCTGGGGCTGCTCACAGCAGCTGCACACCCTTGGGGCACAGCAGCTAGTCTGTGGTTGTTTGTGGGGGCACTGATTTGAGCCTGCCCCTGCTGAGAGTGAGCTGCACACCGTTACCAGCACCTTGACTAGTGCAGCATCCCTGGTCAGTGGCATGAAATAGGTGTCTGGGCTTTGCTGGTGATGGGAAGCACCCAGGCGTGGTGCCAGGAGGCATCTGCCCTGAGAAGTGTCATTCATAATAAAACGGTGCTCCTCACTAGCACTGGCAGGAGTTTCCAGAGCGCTCTCGTTTAGGAGGGATGGCTTTTAAGTGATGGTGCCAGGGCTGGAGGCAACGCTGCCGGCAACTCCCTGTGCTTGTCCCCTGGCTGGGGGCTGCTGCCCCCCAAAAGTACCCAGCAGAAGTGACTCGGCTGCCTCTGCCACAGAGGGCTGTGAGGGGAGCCTGCAGTGCAGGGGCAAGAGGTATGTGTGTGGGATGACAGGTCCGTGCTGCTGCGGGGACAGTGACCTCTGGCAGCAGCGAGGGGCGGAGGAGGGCAGGAGACAGCGGGGATGGGTTACACCCACGGCAGTGAGGTTCATTTTCCTTTTCCGCACCCCGTCTCCAGCCGCTCCCGCCTGACGGGTGAACTGCAACCGCAGTGTCTGCAGCTTGCTGAGTAAAAGTTGTTCCTCAAGCTGTTGATTACGGTTAATTAGCATTAAATTTGCCTTAAATGGATCCTAGTTGTGCTCGTTTGCTCCGGGGTGGCGGCTGCCGGGTGCGAAACGCGGTGGCTGCCCCGGTGCCCCGGGACCGTGGTGGGTGGGGGCGGGAGGGAAGAAGTGGGGGGGGGACTGGGGCGGCGGCGCCATCTTGTGGGCGAGGGCGCGGGGCGGGAGCGGCCGCCGCCCCTCAGGCCCTGCCCGCCCCTGCGGCACGGCCGGTCCGGGCGTCGGTGTCCCCCGGCTCTCGGTGTCCCCCGGCTCTCGGCGTTCCCCGGCCTCAGCGGCTCATTTGGCCCGCCCGGTGCAGGTGGGCTGCCCGGGGGAAGCTTTAACCCACTGACTCAGGCAGACCTAACATGGTCCTCTCTGCCCTGGTCTTGTGTGAGCCCCAGGCCCGGTCAGGTGGATGTTCTCCTAGAAAGTGTCAGTCTGAGAAGACAAAGGTGTCCCTCCAGGCGAATTCTTGCTCGCCCCAGCTTGCCACCCAGGGAGCCCATGAAGTAGAACCGTAGGGAGCACCACGAGGCTGAGGCATGGCCCCAAGAGTGTGTCAGGCCTGTGGTAATTTAGCCCCTGGGAATCTTTCCAGCAGGTGAATAGAGAAAAAGCAGAAGTGGGTGATTTCTGAGGCAGACTCGTTTTGCTGATGAAAGGGAATTAGAGAAGTGCCCCCTCCTTTCCCCACGGTAGTGTCAACACCTTTATTCTTCTGTTTTCCCATCAAGCCCCTGATTGTTCTCTTCCCTAAAGCAGTTCGATGGGTAGAAACATAGCGAGGGCATTGGCAGCTTTTCCGTCAGCATCATCCAGCCCTGCTGAGAGGCACTCAGCACACAACAGTGGTAAAAATGCTGGCAGAGGTACAGCCCCGCTCGCGCTGGCTCTGCTATCGCTCCTGCCGCCAGACAGAGGGAAACTGTACGCCTTGGAGTCTGGGGTTAGAGGAGTCAAAGAGATTGCGAATCCTCAGAGGTGTGCATGTTGCCGTTGGCTGGCTTTCCAGCAATGGGGGATTGAGCTGGTCTCTGACAAGGCAGCAAATCCGGAGCTGCCGTGCTGGGGAATGAAATGCTCTGTGCAATCAGGCTCGTTGAGTTGCTGCAGCACTTCTCTGCGCCAAGCGGTGTTTCTCTTTTGGATGGTTGTGGTGTTAAACGCTTCAGCAATAAAGAGGCTTTGTTGTGGTCTCTGCAGCATTGCTTTTGCCTTGGCTAGCAGCAGCCTTTTTGTTTGAATTAATACTTTCCCTGGAGTTGGCTGTGGGGGCATGTGTGGGCACGTGTGTGTGTGTGTGTGCGCCTTTACTTGTGGGTGTACATTGGACACAGCTGTGAGCAGGCACTTCTGGTAGGTGCAGCGCTTGCCCAAACGTGTTGTTGTTTTCGCGCGCCAGAACGATGTGTGCGTTTCCTCATGTTTGGGAGCGCTGGCCACTGTTGCAGGCTTTTAACAGTCCCTGAGTGAAATTTATAGATACTTTTCCACCTACAAGCAGAAACCGTGGCTTGAACCTAGCCCAATCCTGTATTTAGTCTCAGGAAGTGTCAGCATTCACTGCATCAAAGCCATACGGATCCTGGCCAGTCAGTGCTGCAGCGGGGTTATAGCTGGCCAGGCAGTTCCCTCCTCATCATGCTGCAGGGACTGGTTCACATGCAGCAGTGTAGTGTATAATGCATGAGTGAAGGTCATACAATGACCTATTGCTATGGAGCTTTGTAATTTATTTCCTTTGCCGCAGGTATCCTGGTTAGTTCCACCTAAGTTTCAGGGTGATCAGTTCAGCCCCACTACAGGCTGGTAATAGAAACACACAACTCCCCGGCTTTTCCTCATCTTCCTCCCATTTGTGTCTCCAGGGTTAAAACTCAGTCCAGAATCCCCAGACCAAATTGAATTAGAATTTAACATTCAAAGATTCAGGCTCCCTTTAGGCTCCAAGGAACAGAATGTCATCCTGTCTCGCAGTTAATAGCTGCTGGGTAGTCGTTTCAAAGCCATTTCTTTTCAGTGAGCTCTACCATAGCAAATCCCAGCAGTGAATGTATTTCTGGCCTGGCTGTGCCTTTAATCCCACAGCTGAGTCTTATGTGTGATCTCTTTTGAAATGCTAGATTTTTTTTTTTTTTTTTTTTTTTTTAATTCCAGACAGCGATATTTCTAGGACTTGGCATTTCGAGTGGCAACAGGGTTGTTTATAGGAAGAGAAGGGAAAGGACAGAAGGACGATGTTGACCTGGATGATGTTGACCTGGCAGCCCTACAAACCTACCACACTTAATCCACTTATCACTCTGAATTCCTGAAGCAGATAAATGCCGATAACAGTTAAAACACATCGCTGACAGGAGCAGCATGTTCTGTCTTCTAGAAATACATCAATGCTGGAAATTGCAAAGCTGTGTGCTACCATGGGGATGAGTGTGATATAAGAGCCGAAGAAGCCCTCATTGTTCATCAGAGTTCTTCCACAGGAGGGTAGTGAGCCTTTGCTTCCTTCTCCCGCCCTGCTCCAAATACCTTGAGATGCTGTTCAGGCTGAGAAATGCTGCGGAGAGCTGTTGTGACCCCAGAGCCCCCCAGAGCCACAGCTGCCTGATCTGTGCCTCTATATCTGAAATATCAAGTGGGCCCCAAGTGTCTTGTTACCACTCTTGATTGTCCTTGCTGCTCAGCGTTAAGACCTGTTAGGAGTGATTTCCAGATGAGACCAGCCCCGTCCAGCTCGCATCAGCATGTCTTGGGGAGAGGAGCTGGTTTTGGCTAATCTGAGCTAAACCTTCCCTGGAGGGGTGCAGCTGCTGCACCAGCCTTGCAGAGCCACACAAAGCCACTTGCTCCTCTCCCCATCTGTCAGGGCTCTTAGCAAGGTATTAGAGCCACCCCTGGGGTCAGGGGGCCACAGCGGCCACAGCTGCACACTTCCCCCTGTTACAAGACCCCTTCCTCCTGAGGACCTGTCCCAGGCTGAACAGGAAAAAAAATGCTGTAAACCAAAGGTTGTTTGGAGCAAACCTCACTCCTGCAAACTCCAGAGGGACAAAACAAGTGATAGTGCTTTTGATGACGTGCAGTTTACAGGCTCATCTGCTGCCTTAGGTCTTTTCCCCCATGGCCATCCCCCACCAGTCTCCACAGCACAGCACCCCGTGGGAGCAGGCACCCTTGAAGTTGCAGCAATGTGTTTTCTTGAGGACAGTGCAAATGTCTCACAAGAAGTGCGAAAGGAGGAAGCTTGCCTAGAGAGAAGTGAAGATCTCTCAGACATTGGGGGTTTTATGAGTCAGATGCTGCTCAGCTGTTGCATTGCAGATGTCTTAGCTAAAAACAAGCTTTTGTTGAAATCAAAGACTCTTCGTGAGTATAGGCGGCAGGAGCCTCCCACAAAAAGAGTTTTCTTCTTCAAAGGGCTCTCCTTAGATTTGCCTACAATAGATTACTTAAAGCTTGCCTGCATTGCGAAGCTGATTCAGAGCCAGCACGGTGTGGATCTGAAGCATCCCAGCTGTTAGGGATGAATTTGCTGTCTGGTTGTTCTCACTTGGTGAATATGAGTGCCTTCCTCCGAAGGGACCTGGTGGAGGAGTTGGCTGTGGAGGGATGTTTTGTGTAGTCAGGAGTACAGTGGAGCCGTTTCTGTGTAGTGACTGCTGATGTGGGTACTGGTTTTCTGCACCGAAGACAAAGCAGGTGGTCCCACACTTCAGTGTTCACGTCAGCGTGGAGGGTGACAAAGTTTGCTTTAAATGTGGGTGATATTTTACAGTAATCAGGAGACAAAGCTCTGTATGCCAAAGTGCTTATGGTCTAATGTTTGGACACCCCCTGGCAGGTGTAACACCATTCATGGTAGTACAGAAATATTAACTCCAATGTGGGGAGGAGTCTGACTGAAAAGCAGAAGAGCTTGCATCTGCCAGGAACTGCTTGCCAAAAGCAGTGTGTGTACATCCTGCCCGTCCCTTCACGAACGAGAGGGGATCAACCAGCTGCCCAGGCATGGAAATACCTGACAAGTCCCCATATCTTTTGCCTTTTGGATCTTCGTGTCTGATTGCTTTCTTACAGCCTCTGACACCCATCATGGCCTCTAATCTAAAAGTCATCTTCCTCTTTCTTTGGTTGCTTCAGTGTGGAGGTAAACAAATATATTTTTTTTTAATTCCTTTTGTTTACTCTCATGTTTTTTTCATATTAGAGCATTTCCAGCTGCTATCTTTTGCTAATTTCCAGAGATCCCCTCTAGGAATTTGCACGCTGCTGCTATTTCTGTCTTTTAAGCATTTCAAAGCTGAGAGAGCAAATCCTCAAGAAAGGGGAAACATGAGAGAAGGGTTAGATAACCTAAAAAAAATGGTTTGGCTTTTTCCTTGGCATGTTCTTCTCAAGCTCATGGCTCCTGGGATACTACAAGAAGATGGATCTCTCCTCTGCTTTGTTAACAGCAGTCCTTAGCCATGTCTTGTACAGAAACTATATTCATATGTGTTCTGCTGGGTAGAGATGAGGAGCAGGACGATGAATGATTTTGAAAAATATGGCCCAGAAGAAACCACTGGGGTTATCACTCTCATAGTGTCTGCAGGATTTTCTGTTACCACCTTTCCATAATACTGTTCCTAGTGTACACAGGACTGTGCATTCACAAAGAACGAGCATGTCCCTGAGGACTGTACTGTATCTTGACTCCTTTTAGGGCCAAGAACCTTTTTCTAGTGATGTAAGCTAAGCTCTTCCTTTCTCTCAGGCTGTTGTCCCTGGCTATGTGATCTGTAGAGAATTTTCCTTAATGGATGTTACTTCCCAACAGTCCCTTCTGGGCAGTGGCCATGCTGTCCATTGTTGCCCCCCACCACTTCCTCAGTGCTCAGTATTCAGCAGCACTAAGTCTGAGTTGCCTTTTCCAATGCCAGCTCCCGCTGTGCAGGGGTGATGCTGCTGTTGTGAGGCAGTGTTAGTGCATGATGACAGGAAAGCAAGCCTGGCTGTGCTCTGGGACAGCTCTAATACCTTGTTATGAGCCTGTTCATAGATGCAGAACTCCAGGGAATCCCATCAAAAGCATGAATGAAAAGCCTGCCCATCCCCTGCTTTCTCTCTCTACCCTTTTTTCCCTCTTCTGTTTTCATGTCTCTGAAAGAATCCTTCATTTCGTAAGACTTGTGTGTAAGTTTCCAGTTCCCTTTCTTAAACAGCCTCCTCTTAAATTGCTTTATATATGGTATTATGTCAGAAACTAGATCTAGAGACTGCCTGATGTTAAACCCAGATTTGGCTGGGAAGCCAAAGAAATCCTGTACCCCAGGGTCCTTACTAGCCTGTGGCTCACTCTTAGGTTTTTTTACTTTTTATTAAACAAAACAGGGAGTGAACTGTGGTGTGATTCCACATCTGTGCTTATTCATCCTCTCTTGTAACTCCTGACATCACTGTCTACTGAATTGCAGTGATAGATCACTTTAAACTGCCCTGTATATGTTAGGAGGAAGCATGAAGGGCATGATCTTCCATCTCTCTGCTTAAGATACTGTCACGTATAGATACTTAAGATCTGCAGTCCTCTGCAGATAGTGCCCGTATCTGGCATCAAGGCTTGTGCTTTGCTGCTCTTTCACAGCAGCAAAAGTTTGGAGTGATTAAGCCGTGGCTCATGGCCCCAGTGCTGGCCTCTGTACGGAATATGCAATTTCCTTCCCCACTTGTTTTTCAGAAATACACAGTGCCACTGATAACAGCTGCTTACGTACAACACCTTCATGGCCACAGAGTCATCATGTGGCCACACATAGATGCCCGGGCAAAAGCTCGTAACTCAAGAGTTCCAGGAGATGTCTAGCTAGCATTTGTCATGGAAAATCGCTTTCTATTCACCCACTGTAAATACAGTCTCACACCACTGCAAAATCAGTTCACTTCCTGCTTCATTTCCTGTCTCTCTGTGTGCTGGCGTTGTATGGAGGAGCTCACAAGAGAAAAGGGGAAGCCTGTGAATGCAGCAGGCTATCACAAATCAGACAGCAATTACCTAAGAGATGTGGCAGATCACACAGGGCACGTGCTCTGAATCACTCAGTTTCTGACAAGGCCAGCACTGCGTGCTCTGGGTGTGCTTCCTGGCATATGGTTTCTTTCCGTGTGATCCTGTCTTTGGGACAGCCGTCCTCTCCTGACTGAAAGCGATGTTAGGTAACTGCTAACACTTACTACCCTTACAGGGGAAGGTGTTGACGTACAGCAGAAACCTCCAATCCAGGTTGCACTGCTCAAGGAAGAAATATCCATCCCCTGTAAAGTCATCTTCCCTTACATGCCGAAATACACCAAATTTTCAATCTGCTATTACTGGATTAATTCACTGGGCCAGAAGACATCCATCTATAATAGGTCAGAAAACATACACATTCCTTCTGGAAAAGAGAATTGGACTGCTACCCTGTCTTATGACCACAGGATTGTGCTGCTTGAAAAGACCTCTTCTACTGGCACATACTACTGCGAGGTCAAATGGAATGACATGCAGAAAGTGGGAAAGGGAGTGTTTGTCCTTGCTAGAGGTAAGTGAACAACCAGAAGGAAGGGCAGGAGGTTAAAAATCAGCTGGATCTGGCTGTGAAAATATGGTCTTTGCTCTTCTTTTCATCTACCCAAACATGCTATGAAATCAGGTGGCAATAATGCTTCATGCCAGTACTTACTGCCATCCGGGTTGAATGCACCTTGCACAGGTGACCTGTGCTACTGTTCCCGAAGGGGAACGTGAAGATGCAGTAATTTTTAACTGCCCTGCCACAGCCTCCTGGGAGTCGGGATCTATCCAGGGAGCCTGGGCACTGGGTCAGATGGTTCTCTGAAGTGTTAATGTTCAGGAGACAGTGTGGTTTGGCCTTCAACACTATGGCAGAGGCAGCTGATAAGGTCAGTCCTTAGGGTGCTTGCTGTAATGAGATGTACAGGTTCGGTGCTCACTATTAGGGGCTCATGAACAGGTTAGGGACTGACCAACATCCCTCCCCCTTTTCCATGTGATACAAGGGTTTGGTTGATCTGTTAATGGGCAGACCAGAAAGCAAGGGAAAGCTTGATGCAACATAAGAGGAATGTTAAGGTGATAAGGATGGGCATGCTGCTGACTGGCTGGATTTGCATTACTGAATGTTGGATATGAAGAACTTGTTAGTGTAAATGCAAGAGCTGCAATGAAATAGCTTTGCTACGCTGGTCAGAGAATGCCCACCCTCCTAGTTTGTGTGGCCTGTGTGCTTTCTAACATTTATCTTTCTGCTCCTATCACAAGACCTTTCCCAGCCTCTACCTGCCACATTTCTTGGCTCTCATGGTTATATCACCTCTGTCTAATGCATTCTGTGGAGTGGCTTATATCCTGCCTCTTCTGTGTGATTCTGCAGCTTCACCCTGCTTTCTATTCAGTCAGAGTGGGTTTGGAAGGTTGTGTGCATCTCTGCCACCACACTCTGCGGTCTTGTATTTTAGTTCTCTCAAGGCTTTTTCCAGGGTTAAAAATACAGCAGGATTGTAACTTCCACTTACACTGTGAACCTTTTTCCTTCTTTCTTACAGGTACAGGGTACATAGATACCTCTTACAGGTGGGAAATCCTTGTTACCTTTACTGTTCTTCTTGCTGCACTGAGCATCACCGCAACAGCTCTGCTTCTCTGGAAAAGAAAGGCAAGTTATAACCAAATAAAACCCAGTACCTGACATGACCCATTCTAGGAATTAATTCCATTTGCTTCTGCCTTGGCTGGATTGGAAATCCCTGTCCTGAGATTTTCCATGCTGGGTGTCTGCCTTGGTTTATTTTCCTAAGTTCAGTTTTTCTGAGAAAAAAAATATTACAGGAAAGACAAAAAGAGTCAATAATTAAAGAGTCAAATTCTGATAACTGTTTTGACTCCAGCATGTTCTACTTTAGAACAAGGGTTTAGCACAAGGCAGCCCGTCACACTAGCAGCATGCTGGCCCTGAGAACATTCAAGGATATGTAGCTTTGTGATGGAATTTTGGAAAATTGCAGTTTGTGCATACTCAGTTGTGGCTCTCGTCAGTTTAGCAGTTCAGTTGTCTAAAACCCCTGTGAGGGGGCCTTACCTGCCAGTCAGACAGGTAACGTCCTGTGCAACCAAGCAAATCTGTTGCAACCCTGATGGCGGGAGGAGGGCAAGACTTTCCCCATTTCTAATCCTCTTTCAAGATGGAGGTTACTCCGGTTCATGAATTCTGCGGCTGCATTCCTGAGCTTATGCACCATAGAAGAAAAAAATCTGCAGTGTGGAGGGGCCAGAGACCAAAGCTTTGAGCATGAGTGTGGCAGAGAAACATTAGGAGACAGAGAGAGAGGAAGGTCAGGACAAGGATCCCAAGGAAGCATGTGTGGAAATTAACTGGGGAAAAGAAGAGAGGGACAAGGGCCTGAGGAGCAACAAGCTTTAGGTGACTCTGCTTTGAGCACAGGAAGTTTAGACTAGACAATCTCCAGAGGCACCTTTCAACAGCAGTGATTCTGTGAAGCTGGAAGAATGAGCCTGAGCGGGGAAACTGGGATTGGAATCTGGAGCAAGGAAGCACTGGTTCTTGGAGGACGGTGTTAAGCCTGGACTGACAGGGCCCCTTGGATAAGCAGACCAGGCTGGGATAAGCTGGGAAAGGAGGTGGAAGCTGGGATGAGTAACAGGGCAAAGGGGAAACCAGGAGTGGAGAAGAAAGGATTTAGAGAAAAGGAGAAGAAAAACCAAAAGCAAGGCAAAAGATCTGGATGAGAGAGGGGCCCGGAGGAAAAACCTCTGGAGTCATGATACTGGAATCCCTGTTTTTTGGGAAAAACTTGCAGCTCCTAGTACAGCCACCCTCAGGTGTTCAAATTGCATTCTCTGCGTTCTTCCAGAGATTTCAAGGCTGGCTTAAAAATACCTGATGTCTTTTAAAGTGGAGCTTGGGGATTGCTGTTTTCTAGGTAGAGTATGCCCCATATTTACTTCTTCAAGCTGCTCTCTGCCACCACAACAGCAGGCTCTTTGCATGGATTTTTATGTGCAGGCTGTGCTGCTTGTGTAGTTGTTTGACTCCAAGGAGCATCAGGCTTCAGCACACACAGTCAGAGATCATGAGGTTGAAAGCAGAATGGCAGCAGTTGGCAGACCTGCTAATCTCGTGAGACTTACCTTGTCGGCAGCCTGATACAGGGGAAGGAATGTAAGAAGCAGAGCGAGTCGGCTGGAGACAGGCCCCCATCTCTGTTTGCCTAGACAGCGTCTCCGTGGGGATGAGGAGGGGAGGGCAGTGTCACGACTTGCCAATTGGCATCTCTAGGTTTTGAGGTGGGCCTGCAAGTCTTAGACTTATGGGCTGTCCTTGGGGCCCGAAGAGATCGTGCAGTCGTTATATTTGCCCTCCTGCAGAACACAGCCCATATTTCTCACCACAGCTTGCTCAGACCTGCTGGTTTAAAAATGTTTATCTTTAAGAAAAGCTATTTAGCATCCTCCTTAGTTACTAATGGACTGGAAAGCAGTTCATAGTTTTCATGTGATGTGAATATAATCATCCCACTTCTTTCTGAATTAGAACAAAGCAAAGCCTTCTGCCTTTTCTGCCTCCTCCTTTGCTTGCTGAGCTTCTCTGTGTGTGAATGGAACGCGTTCAAGGAGAACTCATCTGATGCAAGAAAACATTTCAGAGGGAGGCACCTTCTTCCTTCAACCCCATGCTGGACTTGCACGTTAATGTAGCACTGATTATATGTCATCACTAATGCTTATCTGGTGCTGTTCTCTAGACCCTGCATATTAGCAGAAGCTTCCCGGCCAAGCCCTGACAAAAGTCATTGCGTTTTGCCTCTGAAATTCCTCTATGCACTGTGAACATGGCCCTATTTTTTCCTTGTCCTACAGCATTGTTCTGTGCTGTAAAATACTTACACCCTTCACCCAGTAAAGTTTCAGTGCTGAAAGTGCTTTATATGTACACACAGAGCCCAGTTCTGCTTTCTTACACTGCTCCAGTGTGAGTCACGGGACTCCTACATGTTACCCTGTGGTGAGGAAAGTGATCAGCATGCGTTGTGCAGACACTGCCAGGACTCTTTGCTGTGAAAGCATTCAGGAGATGTGCAAGCAGCTGGCTTTGATATGACACTGGTGTTCCTTTCAGCTTTGGGGAGATCCTGTTTTCTCCAAATGTGCCATTTGGTGTCTTGTCCTGAGCAGGTGTTGTGCCCTAGAAGGAACCAGCTAAATATCCTGAGACAGAAGGTGGAAACTCAGCTCCCTTCAGCCAGCCCACCACCACCGCCTCCTGTCTATGATGTGAGTACCAGAATCACCCTTCATCCTTTCTGTTTGCATCGTGGTACAATTCTTCCTTTCCCTGCCATGGTACAAACAATGCCAGGATCATGATGTGAAACATGAGCAATACCTGCCTACCAGCCTGGTACTGATGACCTTGCCCAGCTCAGCTCCCATCAAGACTGTGCACGTTGCGTGTCTCCATCCTGGTCCCAGTCATGGCCTCCCCCGTGCCCAAGCCTTGCCCCATGCCCTGTGGACAGCACCCTTTCCTCTTAAGCAAGGCCACAGAGGGTTTCTGGTGGAAGAGGTAGAAGGGTCTCCACAAGTCAGGAAGAAAGAGGGCATCTCATCCCCTTTGTACTGTGGAGTGTCTCAAGGACATACCCTTCCCAGCTGCAGAATGATGGCTCAGGAAAGGGACAGAGGGACACGCTCCTCTAAACAACCCCAGCTGTTTTAGAGTTCCTGCTGTGGTACCTGCACTGGTGCCAGTGTCACAGACCACTGCAGTCCTCAGCAGGCTCAGTAGCTAGCAGGGGAAATAGGGCAGGAAGAAAATAAAGGGAGTCTTTTTTTTGAAGCATTTTCCTTTTCATTGCATAGGATCTCCTTTTCCATTTTCCAGTCTGGGGAATGCCAACTGTTCCCACTCCTCAAGCCCAGTAGCTACAGTGTCATAGGTAACAGAATTGAAGTGGCTCCCCTGAAGTGCCAGGCCTAGACCTCAGCTATCTCAAGTAACCATGACTCCTAATCCCATTTACAACCCATCCAGCGCCATTTAAAATGGATTCCTTTTTCTCCTTTTACTCTCATGGGAGGGCTGCTCCACTAAGAAGGGAAGGGTTTGTGTTTTTTTCTTGTGATCTGTGGGACCAACAAGGAGAAATAAAATGAAAGTGAGTAGAGAAGGATGTTACCTGAGTATTAGGAAACCTTTCTGTCTGTGAGGTCTATAAGGACTGGAAAAGTCTCTCCAAGGAAAACCTGTAAGCTCTTCTGCATTAATCATTTAAACTAAACAAAGTGAAGCTCTGGAGGATGTACTACAGAGAGGAGCAAAGCTCTGCCAAGGAAGCAGGAGACTTGATCGGGGGCAGATACAAGCAAGAAGGTAGGCCTGCCCCTTCTCATTCTCACTTTGCTGGGAGTGGGGAGGAAGGGGCACCATTTTGTGGCCTTTTAGTTTTTGGAGTAGTTGTTTAAAAGACAGCACTATGTATTGTATGCGATACGTTTATTCTGGGCAAAAAGGAATGCTTTGCGTAAAGGAGGTTGCAGGTCATAAACCTTTTCATTTGTATCAAGTAATTTCTTTTTAATTCAGGCTTATAAAAATCCGAATGGGTAGTTTCCTGCTGAAGTGGATGATTTCTGCAAGGAGACAAAAAAAAAATCAAATCCATTTCTCGCTCAGTCGGCCTCGTCATGCATCCTTAGCTCCATCTTAATTACATGTTTCATCATGTTGTTCTGTTCAGGCTCCACTAAGGCTAATATAGCAAGCCAGCAGAGCCAGCCTTAGGCACAGGCAATCCCAGGAGCTGGCTGGGCCCCAGTGCTTCAGGAGCCCTGTGGACCTGGCCCAGCCGGCCTTCCCTGGGGCTGTTAACCACACACCAGCTGTGCAGGGCTCCTGGCCAGACGGTGTGCAGGGCAGGTGGCTCTTTGGCAGGGCTGCAAGCAGCCTGGGACCATCTCCTGTGCGCTGGGGAATACCAGCCCAGCCACTGGAGGGTCCTCTATTGTGGAGCAGCTGCTGTGGGGCGACTCATTCAGGCATGAAGCGGCAACTCCCGCTTCTTTCACAGAAGGGCTGCAAGGTGAGGAGGGGGGAGCAGGGGAGCACAGCCCTGTGAGGTGTAACGGGGTGTAGAGGGTGAGAACCCTGGGGTAGAAACCTGTGTTAGATGGGCCCTCAGGAGAGGTGAGTGGAACAGAAAGTCGACAAATCTGATTTCCTTTGAAAGATGACTCTGGTGCCCCACCGCTAAATTTTGTGGGAACTCTGCATAGTGTAAACTCAGACATGCAAACTGCATTTGAAAGTAGGTGCGTTGTGAAAATCTGTTGGTGTTAAAATGGGTGTTCAACTCGGTTCTTAATTCATGGGGAGGGAAGAAATCTGTGGTCAGCACTGTGGTAAACTAAGGCAAGGAAAAAGAAAGGACAAGTGGGATAAGATAAAGAAGGTCAGAGATTAGGGGACTGGACAGGAGACCATCACGTGCCAGCTGTGCTATCTGTGGAGGAGCAACAGGTCGGAGTCTGAAAAAAAGTCAGGTCAGGGAACCACAATGTCCTTGCAGGCGTGGAGCTGGGAGCAGAAGCAAGAGCAGGCAGCACTGGACATCAAAGTAAGGTCTCGGAGCTGGCTGGTGCAGCTCATTAAGTACTCTGTGTTATCCTTCTTGGCAGCAAGGCTCATCCCTGGTGTGGGAAGGGTCCTAGCACACCTTCTGCAAAGCTCTGCTGCTGAACAGCCCTGGGAGCAAATGCCTTCCCCAGTGGCTCTTCAGGTGCCGCTGTTTACTTTGTGATCCCTGGGGGCGGGTGTATGCCCTGGTAATGAGGGGGCAGCTGGGAAAACACTTTGTTCTCTCTATACTGCCAGGTATTCCTTGACCTCTCTGTCGTCCTGCAACCCTGGAGCTGCTCTACCTCACTGCACTGCCTAGACCCAAACCTGTATATCCTCTGATTTCCAGCTTAGCTGCCTAGTTAACGAGCAGCTTGGAAATAACAATCTGAGGCCCTTGTTTCATCTGCTTTACACTTCAAACAAGCTTTTTTGAGCAGCAAACAGAGCTCCTGCAGTGCAGGTGCAGTCAGGTTCCAGAGCACAGGAGCTTTTCCAGGTGTGAGGGAGACATAAGGCTGCTTGGGGATGGGAAGGCATCTGTCAGCAGGGAGGAGAGTAGCCTGTGTGCCTCCACTGTGACAGTAGCAGGTGGTCAGTGACCAAGTAAAAGTAATTAACCAACTCGCCAGCAAAGGACCAGCATTGTCAACAGCCTTCATGGGAAGAAGGCTTGTGGAGGCAGGGAGTCTTTTTTGGAGGTTAGATACCAAAAGGATCCTTCTTGCTTGCAATTGGCTTCAGACCGGAGCAGTGAAAGAGGCTGCCTGTCCTGCCAAGGGGACACGGAGCCAGGCTGCTGGAAGCAGACCAGGCAGGGCAAGGTCCTCAATGGGAGCATCACAAAAAGAATTGAAAATGAGGATGGGGAAATTGGATTTTCTTTGTGCACATGGGCACGTGGGAAATGTCTGTGTGGGCACGTGGGGTTTTGGGAGTAAGAAGCAAACAGGTGAAATAATTTGACTGTTCTGAGAGAAGGCATGGGAATGGGAGAGACGTGTGTTGCTCCATTCACTGTGCCCCCCTCATGTCTGAGTGGCTGTTTCTTCCAAGGCCCCCTCCCGAATGCTGCTCCTTTAGCATCTAGTCCTGTTCAAACCACTGTCCTGCTGGCCATGATCTGGAAAGATGCTGAATGTTTGCAACTCCAGATGAAATGATGAGGGTTCAGGTGACCAGCAGCCCTTGAATCAAGCCTCTGTGTTTTGCTCATCCTCCTCTCTGTGTTTCAGGGCGCCTCGCTCTCTTTGCAGTCTCTCCACTAATACCATCTGCCCCTCTTGCAGCCGGAGCTCCTCCCATCTTCCTGTTGCCAGAGAAACAGCCACCTTGGCAACCTGCTGTCATCCTTGAAACACACATGGAAAAGTCCTCCTGATTGTTATGTTTGATCCTTCAGGCAGATCTGGAATATCACTCAAACTGACATGCATCTCCTGTGACATGATTACTTGGGGGACAGCGAGTGCATATGCATGTAGGCCGCGTGTGTATTTCTCTGTGTAGCTGTGTGGGACCACGGTTATGTTTGAGGGCCTGGGAGCATATGGATTTTTTTTACTATTCTAAAAAGAAAGGAGAGTTCTGGCTTGGGAAAAAAAAAAAACCAAACCAGACAATAAACAGGAATTGTGTCCAATGGAGGGTTTCTCATTTTCAACAGCACCTGTGCTTCAGGATCCCCAGCCTCTCCCCTTTTCTCACCTTTGTGTGCCCAGAATAACCACTAACATGAGCTTGTGGGTGTCAGGCACCTAAACAGTCCTAGATGATGCAGAGCACTGCCCCTTACCCGTGTCCCCATGGTGCACATCATCATCCCCTGTGGCAGAGGGGTCTTTATTCTGCATTCTGCAACAATTTGGAGCAGAGGGAGGCAGGGCCATTGGCATTCTTCTCCACTGCCTTACACAGGGTAGGTAACATCAAAGCCTGTCTCTGTGAGCCTGAGAAAAGAAGACGATGCAGTTGTACTGTAGGGATTTCAGAGGGAAAGGATTTTCTGTTTGCCCAAGTTCAGGTCAGGAACTTTAAAATTTTGGAGATGGCAGGGGTTTCTAAAAAGTGTCAGGCGTGAGATGGGGAACAACACGGTGGGTAATTAGTAGTCTTAAACCTCAGTAATTTCTTTAACCCCTATTTTCTTCTTTTTCCCCTGTGCAGAGCCTGAATGTGCAGCAAATTGATGTCTATTCTGTCCTTGAGAACAATACAGACAACTCTTCACTCAAAAATAATCCTCCAAGGAAGGTAAGGGCCAGGGCCCTATTCTTGGAAAGTTCCCAAATGCACTGAGCACATGGGGAAAGAAACCCCACAGAATTGCCATGACCTGGCAGGCAGTAAGTGTGTCTTCAATCCCACCAAAAGGGGAAAACAGGATGTGGCATGCACTCGCCAGCTGGGCTGCACATGTAGCCTATCTTCCCTTTTCCAGCAGAACTCTTGCTCCTGCAGCTCTACCAGTTTTGGCAATCACGGTTTTGAGCAGATGCTTTGCTGTATGACATATGCTGAAAGGCATTGAGGGGTTTGGCATCACTGCTCCCTCTGAACAGGATGGACATTCATGGAGAGTTGGGCAGATGCAGGTCCCCACTATTGCCCCTTCCAGATTATTCAGGCAGTTGAGAAGTCCTCTGGGGTAAAGGGATCTGTGCACTAGCAGCAGACCCTGGATGCAGCTTTCCTCTCACCAGCATTAGAAACCTGAGAGCAATTTCATGGTAGCAGAGGCTGGGTTGATACAATATCTGTCAGCTCTGGGGCTCAGGAAAAAGCAATGTGCCTATGTTTTGGGCTTGTACTAAATTAACTCATTGTGAAAACAGATGCAACTAGGAATATGCAGGTGCAAATCAGCTGTGGGGGCTGCATGAAGCAGACCAGGAGTCCACATAGCCTTCTACCCTGCCTTTGACAGGCATCAGCTCTTTCATATGGACAAAACTTGCATCAGGCATGCCAGGGAATGCTTCCTTCCTGTCCTCAGAACTTTGTTTTTCTTTTCTTCTCCAGACCTCTTATCTCCTTAAAAAATATATATATTCACTTCTAACGTTAGAAAATGTTCCTGAAAAATATCTTCTGCTTCCTCCCACTGCTGTCTTATTGGGGATAATTCCCCTGGTTTCACCATCCCTCTGCTTCATGAGAGCGTCTCATTCCAGTGTCTGAGGCATTTTCACAACTCCCACCTTTTAGGAAAAGGTGGTCTAAAATCAAGCAGCCCCCTCTGTTATCAGAACTGCTTGCCACATGGTCTGGTCCCGTGGCCACTGGCCACCTGCAGTGACTGCTGTGGCACCGCTGTCGGTGGTGGTAGCAAAAGCAGTGCCAGGTCCCTGATTACTGAGGGGAAGGAAGGATTCTTTTAAATAGGCTTGTCTTACATGATGCACTGGAAAAGACAGCATCCCTGGGTTTGTGTTCTTGCTGCATTTTTAATTAGTTGGATAGGGTCTCCCTGGTCCTATTTATTTTCTGTATACCTTTACCAGTTACCACTTCTGAAATTATTCAGTCTGGGTGGCAAGATACACGATATGTGAGGTTTCTCCCTACCAGGGAGCTGTATGAGCTGTGTTGAATTGTTTGTGTGTGGCCCACATCATTCAGCTGCTGCTTAGAGGGGCAGAGGATCTGTAAAACAGAGCAGCAGCAAAGCAACAAAGCAAGAGCAAAGGAGCATCTCTATGTGAACGGGTCTGGCACCAGTAGCCTTGGCCAGGGTAGGGTAAGGTCAAAGCAGAGAAGAGAGGAGGAAAAAGCAAAGAGAGAGGATGGATGGGATGAGCTCTCACACGCTGCCAAGTGTCCTCAGTTCTTGTGCTGGTCTGAAGGAAGGGAAGTGTGAGTGGTAGGGCCTCATGATCTCAGCACAGGAGAATCTGACTGCACTTTCCACTGTGGTTGCAAGTACCTTGATCTGCTTCCCTAAATCATCCTGAGCTGTCACCGCCTAGGACACTCGTCCTCCAGCTGGCTTTTAGGTTGTTTTCCCTAAGAGTGAGACTTGTGGGTCAGTGGGTTTGGGCTGTGAGTGGGAGCTGGGATTGCTGAACAGTGACTCTGCTGCGGAGGGTCCAACCTAGGCCTTGCTGCGGGATGCTGCGCATAGAGGGGGAGCTGTAAAGGGAAGCGGGGCAGAGAGCCCCTGTGAGACAGGAGCATTTGCATGGACCATTGGCCAGTTTGGGTTGTGAGGGGTTAATCCCACACGCTTTGGAGGTGCCTCCTCTCAGCACTTTTGTAGTGTTTCCCTTTGCCTGGCGGCAACAGAGAAAATGCTAGTGTAGGTAGGGCTCAGTTCAGCCGGTGGCATTTCAGCTGCTTGCTGTGTAACCTTGCTTACAGCAGGCCTGTGCCACACAGCGCTTAAAATATCAGTCTGTCAGCGCCTTGTCTACACGAGGAACGGTCGTGAGGAATAGACTCAACTGTTGAAGAAACAGGATTGAGGAGGTCAGGGAATTCCTCCTTCACAGAATCCAAAGTGATTTATTTTTTTACTGAGTCCAATTTTCCCTCCCCTCCCAGTCTGACAGTTTTTTGGGGGAAGAGTGACTCGTAAAGGAGGCATCTTTATCCCTTGGGCTGGATTAGTCACGTTTGTCTCTGGTGGAGCAACATTTCTCACTGTAGTGGCTTCTGTTTCAGCAGATCACTTATAGCCATTTCTAACAGAACAAACGTCAGTGCCTGCTTATTAAGAATTAATTCATCATATTTTGAATAATTTTCCTCCATTTCTTTTTTCTCCTTTTCATCATTCTGCAGACACCTAAGAAGCAAGCAACTCTAGAAGAATCCTCTGATACATTGTATGAGAATATCTAACAGGGAAAGATATCTGACCCTGTGTGGACCAGACATCTTTCTGTATGGCAGAGCTACTCTTACATCCCAGATGAGATGCAGATACATGCAGAGATCTACAGTGACTTCAGAGCGCAAGCACCAGGGACTTGTGAACCCCTGGCTCCTTCTAAACTGCCCTTCATTAACAACAGAATGCATCTTTTCAAATCCCTCAGGGCTCAGTCTGCACTGATGCAGCAAAGCTATTTTGCAGCAAAGCTGTTTGATGCAAAAGAAAAGCTGCTTTTTTCAAGCACTTATCTTGGGAATGGGCAATCTGTGAAGGTTTCTCTCACCTGCCCCGGCTGAAATACTTAACTCTCAATCCTCTGCGAATGATAGGACAATCCAGAGACCTCCCTGCTTGCTGGTTTGAAGTTCAGATCCTGACCTGAAGCAGTCCATCTGATCCTGTGCTTGAGGCTTTTCCTGAGGTGGCTGTCAGGCCTTCATGCATAGTTTAACCAGACCCAAGCATCTACCTGCCCATTTTTCCTTTCTCAGGAACCCCACAGTGAAACATGCTTTCTCATAATCTGCTAATCCCATCAAGTAGTCACAGTTGCCTGCTGTGACCATACCCAGGCGACTCAAATCAATGCCTCTGAGTGAATGCTTCCCCTTCAGCAATATAAGCAGTATATGGTGAGGACTGGGTGCACTCACAGAGATAAAGGTGGAGAAAAGGAAAACGGAGAAAATATCCTTGCCTGACAACATGTTTCATTGACAGTGCCCATTCCAGAACAAGAAAGAGGAACAAGGAGGTGGGAACCTGAGGACGCTCCCTTGCTGGGGCGACATAAGCAGGGCAGATCTGGGGCCAGGTTCCAGAGAAGTTCAAGCTGAGCTCCCGGGGTTCCTGTTCCTCTTGGCAATGGGCATTGTTATCACTTGGGATTTTGAGCATGGTACCTCTGGCCCACCAGAACCAATAGGTTGCCTTTGTTTCAGCTGGCTGGTGTACGAGGGTATAAGGCTCCTTCACCCTGTCCCCATACGTTATTTGGCCAGGGACACCAGTTCTAAAATGACTGGAGGGAGGAGAAGTGAGGCCCTAGAAGTGAGTTTTCTATCCAAATTCTTCTCTCCCCTGTCAGCTGGAACTTGCCTACCATTTGTGCTGATGCATATTCTAGTTCTGATAGGGAAGAGGTTACATTAAATATCCATATAACACGATCAAACCAGCGGATCAAAAAGCCAAGGCTGTTTTATCTCAGATTAAGAAACAACAACAAAATAACAACCAAACAAACCAACCCAAAATAAGAATATGCAGCATAACTTGAGAGGAATCGTAGAAACCTCTTTAAAGAAGAAGATCAAATTAAAATTGAGCTCCAGGGTCATAGGACCCTCTCTAGTTGAAGATAATGTTGCTATATATCAGAGATAGAGGCTGTGGAAAATGTCTCCAGGGCCTCCAACCTTCCTATACTATGTTTAAAGAGATAATCCGCTTATTGCTTTGCTCTTTTTATTAGAAGAGATTTCAAACATGGAATTTGGACTTTCTTTAACCACAGAAAAATGCTTGTTCTTTTCCCAGTGCTGAGGAATTCATTTCAGAAAGAGCAATGAATAGACAGCATGGCTTATTAGACCTGTTTATCATTTGTTAAGAGATCGCAACAATTATAAATAAGTATTTTTTAAATAAAAGTTTTAGATTTTACTAATCTAAACAGGAAACATTTGTGTTCACAGAAGAGTTTACAGGTATAACAATTCCTTTCCTTAACAAATTTAAAGAAATGATGAGATGAATTATAAATATGTTGCAGTATGGCAATAAAATATTCAGCAGAAGCTGGTGGATTAGATGAAAAGTAAAAACTTTCCAAATAATGATGCTTAGGTTTGTGTTTTGTTTTTTAAATTTTATAAATGCTAAAAATACTGTGTGCTGCTGGAAATTTCCTGGCAATGATCTTGCTTTGCAGTGAGTTGATTTGTCTTGTCTTTCTGTTACCTCTTTAAATAGCATGTTTCTTACATTTATGCCTGAACAATTCTATATATTAAATAGCTGAAGCTGTTTAAAATGAAACATGAGAGAAAGAACACTATTTGGAATGGAAAATGCTATTCTAGAACAGTCAGTGCTAAAGTACTGGAAGAATCACACCAGGTTCTGATCAATTAAGTGAAAAAGTAAAATTTTCCAAGAAACACTGGCAAGTGTGGGGATTTGGGCTGTGTGCCAAAACTTGTCAAAATCGGGGGGGGGGGGAAGGGGGGGGGGGGGGGGGGGGGGGGGGGGGGGGGGGGGGGGGGGGGGGGGGAGTCGCTGTGTTGATTTTAATGGCTTTTGGGTTGGCCTTGCAAGAAAGGGTAGAAGGCTGCTGCACGAGAGGAAGGGAGTTTAAATCTGTGTAGCCACAATCTAAAATCACTTCTTTAGCATCATGCGCCACGGGTAGCACGGCAGCAACAGAGCGTGTGAGAGAGAAAGGCACACAGCAGAAGGCTGCGAGAGCAGGGATGTTTCTAAATAGTATGGAGTTTTCTAAGGAGGTATGAGGAAATGCCTGCAGGCGCAGGTAGGAGAGACTAGGAAACATAATTTATATAATAGTGGTGTAGCTGCTTTGTAGCAGAGATTTGTCCAGGAACAAGGCAGTCATTTGGTCTTTTTGTCATCATTTGGCCTTTTTGTCTTACCTGGCTCTATGGCCCGTGAGAATAGCTGCAGAAAATGCATATGATTAGCAAAAGAAAACAAGTTCATTTTTAAGTGTTAAGCCATTAGGGAAAAAAAAAAAAGGGAATTAAGGATCGGCTCCCCCAGCTCCACAAAGGTGAGAAGCAGCTTGTGTTCACCCTACACATTTTGCTTTAAACTGAATACTGAGAATAGATTTGTCTTAAAAACTGTGTCCCTAAGGGTCTCAGCTCCACTTGCTTCCTCCACCAGAGGAAGGCACAGAGCAGGCTCTCTGGTTATAGTGGTATAATCTTTGATTCCCAGGTGTTGAATTATCCTTTTCTATTGACAGGATTCCAGGGAAGTGGAGACTCGTTACCAAAGGAAGCAGCGGTGTGTGGTGGAAATGCACTGCTTGCCTTCTTCTAAAGGAGGTCCCATATTAGCACTAGGATCCTTTGCCCTCTTCACCAGGCGTGAGCCTTCGGTCCCGAGAGATGCAGTCTCTGACTGTGATCATCCTCAGTGTTATATGGCATTGCTGCAGAGGGTGTTGGTGACACTGAGGTAATTTATTCCTTTTAAAGCGACTCCTTCATAATGCTTTACAGGAGATCCCAATTTGAGAAGCAGAAGACCAGGGTGCACTTGAGTGGTTCGTCGGTTTGTTGATTTGATCCTTTTCTGCAGAGGACAAGCTCTTGCATGGGTACCATTTTGTCGTATGAAACATGCAAACTATATTTTGCCTTTATCTGTGAACAAGACCCTACTGTGCTGGATAACTGTGCCAGTGAAACGTATATCCAAGGTGTTCTCCTTCATTGCTTTTTGTCTTCTTTTCTTTAACCTTCTCAGGGTTGTCACTATTGCAGATCAACTCTAAATACCCAACTAGGGCTGGTTCTTTGTCAAGGTAGGTGCTTGACTGAACAGCATCCAAGAGAAATGGTTTTACTGCTCTGGTTTGCACCGCTGTCCCACCCAGCAGTGCCCTAAGGGTGTGCAAGTCTGGGCCAAGGGCAGGAGTCTCTTGTTCCAGCTGGGATGTCTCTTGGAAAGACCTGATGTTTCTTCATCCCTTGGCCATGCAATATTATGACCCTGTGAGACAGGGATTTAGGGAAGGCAGTGAGTGAAGCCACCAGATGGTGCCCTAGGTCCTCTCTGCTCTCTTTCCTGTCCCCTGCGTGCCCACATCCCCCGCCAGCTTCCCTGGTGACCCCCAGACCACAGATTCCCAGGGATGCACAGCTACAGCCATGCAGAACATCCCCAGCCATGACTGTCTTCAACCTCTGGGGTTGGTGACTCTGACACTCCTCACAGCTCTGTGCCATGGCCCAGGTGCCACCAGCAGCTCTGAAGAGATGAGGACAGGACAGGTGCCCCTCCTTTGCATCCATGAAGTATGGAGCAATTGCCTCATCAGATATCAATGTCTTGGCACAGGGTTGCCCATGCAAGGGACAGGAGAATGGCTGCTGACACCATCATTTGGTCAGACTGGTGTCTGAAATGCAAAATTGGCCAGATGTTGGTGGCTGCTTGGAGGTGCCACCACTTTCTTTAACCGTTTGGAAATGGCATCTTATCTTGGATTTGAAAAAATTTATGGTGTGTCCATTATGAAAAAATCCTTTGCACCATTTGCTGCTTCTCTTCACTATGCCAGGAAGCTGATGAAGGCTCAGACACTACTCTTTCTGTGTTTTGGGATTCTGTGGTAGTCAAGATTTGCTATGCACAGTGAAGCTATCACTGAGAGTTTTTAAAGAAAAAAGAGCAGCATCAGTGATCTCCAAGGGAAGAGGAGAATGTGAATCTTCAGCGTCTTCTGTTGCTTGATTTTAGGGCAAGCCAGTCTCCACCTACTGTGAGTGATGAAATGTTTTTCTTTGTTAATGATAAAATAGAAATGCAGGTTACTGTTAGTAATTAGTATGTTACTAGGTCCTTCTCTAACACTAACCAGGCCTGTTAGCTGCTGGACTGTGTTATGAGCTGTGGATCTTCAAGGTTCACAGCATCAATGATACGGCTCTCTGGGGACAAAGCGTGATGGTGCTTTGACAATACCAGGCAGGTTCCCACGAAAAGTGACACAGGAGGACAAGCTGTCAGCTTCTGAGGCAAGGACTGTTTTGGCAGGACTGGGAGGGCTCCCGTTCCAGGAGGGAGCCTTCTCTTCACTAACTGATGAACCTCTCCTGGAGCTCCTCTTTTCCTTCCCCTTTCTGAAATATGTGAGTTGTGTTATATCGGTCTGGGCCGCGTGAAGATTTGGATATACAGCTGGTAGGGCCAGGCAGGTCAGCCACCCTGCCTTAAGGAGTCAGAATGTAATTATCCAAATTGGAACAGGGTGAACATGAAAAAGCTAGCATATGGGCTTCTTCAAAACGTTATGTCTTTTAATAACCTGTCAGGGCCTCTGGTTTCTATCCCATCTGAAAGATTCATCTGCCTACAATTTTGTGCAATGATATCTGAGCACTTTCAAGGGTAATAATTGTACCCAAAATACCTGTAGCACACTGAGCTTCCCTCCCTTGTGAGAGAATTAGCGCTGTAATGTCCGTAATGGTGCTTTTGGCACTGACACGTGCCATAAAATCAAAGGTTGCAGAAGTTCTTGCAAGGCTCAGTATGTCATTTCAGCTTCATACATGGAAAAAATGGAGACTCAGGAACTTAATGACTTTTTGAAAATTGCAGACAGTCAAAGGTGAAGTTGGGAACAGAATTCAGGTTCCTATATTCTTATTTGCACCAGGTCATCCAGGTAGGAGCCAGTAGCTGGGAAAGTAGGAGCTGCTGAGCTCCTTATAGTTTAGGGGAAAAAAAAGTTTCTTCCTGAGTCACCAGCACCGGTTTCTGCAGCACTTTGCTTTTCACTTTTGATTTCTCATGCAGTTATTAATCAGATTCATGTCTGGCTGGCTGAAGTCTGTTTGCTGAGGTAGCAGAGCTGCTGGAGAAGTTACTCCTCTCTTTTACGGAGGCATCCCCTATTTTGGCAATAAGTAAAGCTCATCAGAGCCAAATTACCATAGAAAGCCCAAATATGTGTGCTGTAATTCCCCAAATAAATGTTTATAGAGGGAATGTGCTGAATGGTTGCTCATCCACCTCATAAAGTCTTCCTCATTCCTGAAGAAGTTACTGAGCCTTGTGAAAAGGAAAGCAAATGGCTGCAGCTGAGTTGCAAAGGCTCTCTCCACTCGCAAGGAGGGGAGGCAGGGAAGTCCCTACCATTGCAACAATTAGATGCTGGAGAAGGAGGTGTGAGGAGAGGTGATAATGCTGATAATTACATGAATGGAAAAGCTTACCATTCTTTTCAATGTTTAAAGGAAACCACAGTTTGGAGGTGATGTAATTTCTGCTCGGTTGGATTGTTTATTCAAGCAGTGTAGTGCAGCGCTGTGCTGGCACATGGGAAGAGAAGGTAAAACTTCATCTCGGCTCCTGCTCTTGGGATTTCTGAACGCTTCCAGACTCATTCAGGTCAAGACAGGGTGTGAATCTGAAGTACAGCAGCTCTTCCAGCACGGCCCTCTGTACAGACCCGCCCTTGGCTAAGGAATGTGCAAAACGCAGATGGGGGTTCTGAAGGAAACAGTTTATTAGAAGGAATTGTAACTCTTCTCCTTCTCCTTCCCAAAAGATTTAAAATAATCTTGCTGTCCATAAAAATCAGGTTAGCTATTTTGGGTTCTTGCGGAGCTAAAATGAATGCAGCATCTCTCATTTCCACTCATGATAAGTCACTAGATATCAATTCTTAATTGCTTGATTAATCTTGAATTTTCAGAGCTGACAGTGCCTGTCCTAGCACTTAGAAAAGAGCTACGTTTAAAAGGAGAAAGTGCTTCCTTTTTCTTTTCTTTTTTTTTTTTTTCTTTTCTTTAAACATAGCCTGCAAGGTAAGAGCATGAAATTACAGAGAGGTTTGTAACACGTTGTCCCGAGAAAGATTTAAGCAAAGTGCAAGCGAAACAGTTAGAGGTTTGTGAGAAAGTAGGGGAGGTGATGAATTAATTTTAGCATATGCTTCAGCAATTTCTTACAAGACGATCTCAAACTCAAATGTTGGTACACTTATATTTGCACGTGTTAGGACATGTTTTTTGTTTAAATAAATAAGCAAAAAGATTTCCCTCATGAAGATCATGACATTCCTATGAGAGAGGAG